TGTTCAAGAAAACTATTCTTGCATGATTATGTAGCTGGAATATTCATTCGGCAATATTCAGGCACAATTTCTCATACAACTAATAAATGTTTTAGAGTCATGTCATTTGGCAAACTGAGTATTTCTCTGAATTATCCATAGGATACTATGAGATGATACAATTTCTGACACCCAGGAAGTTTCTCTTATACTGGGAATTCTTGAGGTTAGAAAGGTTCTCAACCCTGCACTATTGACATTTGGACTGGATAATTCATTCTTGTGGAGGTTGGAAGTCATGTGCATTGTAGTATGTTTAGGGATTTCTACCCAGCAAAAGGCAGTAAAAACTCCCTCTTCCCCACCATTTTGCAGTAATGATAGTCAGAAATGTGTCTACATGTACCAAACTTCCTTGGGTGTACAAAAGAGCCTCTTCCCATTGAGAATCAGCATTCAAGACCCTATGTTTCCATAAACTGATTAATTATTATATGGTTTTGTTAACATTTTTATGGTAGAGTTGTAGGTAAAGTGTTCACATACACCAGTCATTCCTATATCAGGAATTAGATATGCAGCTAAATTATAAAAATGTATGAATAATAATAAAAATAACATTGCAAATAAATGGAAGAGAAATAATATATCCTGATGTTTATAAGAGGAATTGCATGAGAATTGTGTGATTTGAGGCAATCTATAAGGAGACTTTGTAACTGGATTCTCATCATGGTACTATCTGGAACAGTAAAAAGTATGTAGGCAGAATAATTGCTTGACAGTGGAAGACAAATATCTTATTATGTTAAACACATAGAATACTCAGCAGTGATCAAAACTACACATTTGAATAACATAAATGGCAGGGGAAAGTATTTGGAATATCATGATGTGAAAATATAACTATGTGCCCAGCAGACCAGCCTATCTAGAGTCTGCCAGCATCCTGGTCCTGCCTCCACTTGCCTTCTGGAGCTCAGAGCATCCTGGGGACTGGGGACTGCGTATGGAGGAGCCATTCCAATGGACCAGAACATCAAGAGTCTGCCAGCACCCTAATTCCACTACCACCCACTGGGAGAGCCATAAGAGTATTGGACCTGCTTGCACACACCTTGGTCATGTACACACCAGGAGAGGAAGAGACCCCATTGGTACACACTGGAAGAAGTGATGGGTAGACGACAGTATAAGAACACAGTCAACAACAGAAAGATCAATATGACACCACCAGAGTATAGAAACTCCACACCAGCAAGACCTTAACTTGCCAACACAGATGAAGCAGAAGAGAAGGACCCTAAAAACAACTTCATGAAGATGATAGAGACTCTAAAAGAGGAAATGAGAAAATCCTTTAAAGAAATGGAAGAAAAGACAAACCAAAAGTTGCAAGAAACATTTCAAACAGTACAAAGTTTGAAAACTGAAATAGAGACAATAAAACAAAAATAAAAGCAAAAGCACAGTCTGAAGAAATGCTAGGAATAGAAAAGCTGGGTCAATGATCAGGAACTGCAGATGCAAGCATAACCAACAGAATACAAGAGATGGAAGAGAGAATCTCAGGCATTGAAGATACACTAGGAAAAAGATTCATTGACCAAAGAAAATCTTAAGTCCAACAAATCCCTAACACAAAATATCCAGGAAATATAGGACACAATGAAAAGGCCAAACCTAAGAATAATAGGTATAGAAAAAAACGAAGACACCCAACCCAAAGGTGCAGAAAGTATATTCAACAAAAATCATAGAAGAAAACTTTCCCAACCCAAAGAAAGACCTGACAATGAAAGTATAGAACACCAAATAGAGTGGGCCAAAAAAAAAAAAGGAAAAAAATCCCCTAGCCACATAATAATCAAAACACTATTAAGAGCAGCAAACTTAGCAGTTACAGAGAGTGAGGAGTGATGAGCAAAGGGATCAAGACCAGGCTGGAGAAACCCACTGCTGACATAAACAAAGGGGAGCTCATGGACCCCAATCTGATAGCTGGGAATCCAGCATAGGACAGATCCAGATGTCCTGAACATGGGTGTTAGTTATGAGGACTGGGCAGTCTATGGGGCATCTGGTAGTGGATCAATATTTATCCCTAGTATACAAATGAACTTTGGGTGTCCATTATACATAGAGAGACATTCTCTCTGTGTAGACACATGGGGGAGTGCCTAGGCCCTGCTCCAAATGATATGACACTTTGTAGATCCCCACATTGAAGGCCTTGCCCTCTCTGGGGAGCTCAGGTACACTGAGAAAGACTTTTCACAGATCCATGGAAGAGCACATTAGGTTGGTCGGATGCTTCAGAGAGGCACATGAAGGAAGGCGATGGTAGTGGTAGACTGTGTCACTCAGTCTTCCTAAGGAAAAATTCTGGGTATCATTTTTCATAAATTAAGAAGGTCTGGTATCCTAATTGCATCCCATTCTTCCAAATCAGTGTTTCATGGTGTTGAGAAAGCTGAAGAGTCACTTCAGATGTGTCTGTTAAATAAACTATGATTCCTGGACTGCGACTCCCAAGATTTAGATTCTTCAGTGTTGGGTGGGGCTCATGGAGCTTCATTTTTAGCAAGCTCCTCTAGCGATTCATTTGGACACAGGTCATTCACACACCATATATTATGGTTGGGTTTAAATTCTATTTTTGTTTGTTTGCTTTTTTGTTTTTCCACTTCTAGTTTTGGTAATTTCTTCTTAGTTGTGCAACAAAGGAAGTTGATTTAGACTTTCATTAGTTTATTGGTAAACTGGCTTCTCAAAATAAACATCAATTTTAAAAGTATTTTTTTATTATCTGTGTACCCATTTCAAAGAACAAATAGCCAAAGCAGCTTACAAAGTTCTTAGAAGTTTAAAAACTGGTTCTGAAAAACTGTTATCCCCAATGATACACAGTCTGTAATTTATTTAAGGCCTTTAAATACTTAGAAAATGGTTAATAGAGAACTGACAGAATTAGAAAGTAATAAGATAACTTGACTCATTTCAAAGAAGCAGATTTTGATTATATTAGGAAAAAAGGACAATGAGAGCCTTTATCATTATTTTCTATTTTCATTTTCACTCCATGGCAACTCTCCATGAAGAATAGTACACTTGCTGAGATCTGTGGGAGCTGTAAATTGGTTTCCTATGGATGATGGACAGGCAGGGAACAGTACTCTATGGTTGTGAGCAACACCACATGTTCAGCCTCCACCTTCTTTGGTCCTCATGGTTCTTAACCACTGAGTGTTGAAATGCCTTGGTCATTAATTTTATAGCATCCAACCCTAAAATCAGATCCTTCAACTTCTTCCTCAGTGGCTCATTGAGACAATGTTGTCTGTAGGAAACCCCCATTGGATCAGTTTTATGTGTACATATGTGGGAGGTGGCTTAAATGCAGGCTAATAGTACAGTTCTTTCAATATTTTCACCAGACGTATTTTAGGAATATTGGTCCTGAAGCCTATATAGTCAGCTGAGGCAAATTTATAGCTTTGCTTTTAAGAACAAAACTCCCTCAGGCACCTGCTTCCTAAAGGTAAAACTAGAAAGGAAATGAACTCTTGCTTACAGACAGCCCACCCTTTTTATTAGTTATCAATTTTCTAGCTGGCACACAGTCCACCTGCTACTGGAAGATTTTACCCCATCTCAAGCAAGCACTGAACTGCAAAAGTGTTCAGTCTGCATTCTAGCAAACAGCTCAGATTCCTGAAGATGAGGCACTGGACACAGTCTCAATAAATGAAGTCAGGGGAGCAGCAAAGGTCTATGATGCAGGCCCCCAAAGCAGATGTCTCTGCTACAGCATGTGTGAAAGTCTGTCCCTGAATTACATTTGTGTTCCAGGATTACTGAATCCTCAGCTATGATGGGGAGTGCCTTTATTGTCTTTAGGGTAACTGTCAGGTGAATAGTCAACAACAATGTGGAGCACTTGATTTCCATTTAACTGCTCTGGTGACCCTGGAACCAGAGCTTATCAACCTCTCAAAAATGAGAAAGAACTAAATAGCCTCTTCCCTGCCTCTTTATTGGCAAAGTCAGTCTTCTCAATGGGAATTGACTGCTCTATGGGAGTTAAAGGTCAACAGGGGATACAGTGAGTAGATATGGTTCTCTTAGTATGTACACTACAGTAATAAAATATGAGAATGGACTCTTGAAAACTGTAAGGATAGACTTAGCTAATGAGCAAGTGGAAAACCAGATACACTGAACTTCCCCTGAGAAATCACAGACAAATATGTATGATTAGATCCAGCTCTGCCTCACCTTAGTCTTTCTCTGAGCTTTATTTTGTTAGGAAGACAAAGAATTTGCAGGAGCCATGTGAATATTCAATTGCATGTTTTAAAGTCAGATATTTAAGCTTCCACTTGGGAGAAATGCCAGCATTAACATCAAAGATGTGTGAAGGACCTATTGTCCAAACTGAACACGATGTTCTTCAAATATGAGCATTCGGCCCTCACAAACTGCCATTATGGCCAAATATGAAATGGGCCCTTTAACAGATGGGAAGCATACTTTTCAGCTTGCTGATAGCCTAATAAAAGACAGTAGCTTTTGAAAAATGGAGAACAGGAGGACATGTACTTCTCAAATTACATGACCCAAATGGAGTTAGCAGAATATAATTAAGAAAGGCATACAGCAGACTGTCAAAAATGAGGAACAGACTAGGGGAACTTGAAAGTTCTACACATCAATATCAAAATGACCTTTGGATAGGGGAGGGGGATAAACATTCTTTAAGCTATGGTAAAAAATGCACTGATAGAGTCAGAACCGGGAGTCACATAGAATGGGCTACGGGTACCGATAAAAGGCAAACACAACTGGTTTCTTCTTATAAATACGATAAAGATTCTCTGGGAAGGTGCGCCACTTTGTCAAGAAGGTGCAGCCCTCTGCCATGCTTCGGAAAGGAAAATCACTTCTGTTGACTGCTCAGAGCCACTGACTTTCGCACAGATTCTGTGGTCCACAAAGGGAGGGCTTTGACATCTGCTCACCTTTCCCGCTCCTCTCTCATTCTTTCGAGCTCTTCTCCTAGGTTCCCGGGCTTCTGGGCACCTTTCTGCTCCAGCTTTCCACCCTTATCATCTTTCTTCTTTCCGAATCTAGAAGGGAAGAACAGTGTTCATAACTCACGCATTTTCTTTGGCCAAAGTAAGATACGTATTACCTGAGCTCATTCAACTGTATTCTCAATAGCACGAGAACGGTAGCATGAAACCAAAGTGAACTAAGGTAACAAAAGCAGGAAAATAACACAGTTTCTCAAGTATTCTTTTTTTCTGTCCCCTCTTTCCTTGTTTGCATTCACATATTGTCTATTTAGCACAGCATTATGCCATTAAGGGTGAATAATTCTGGCTATTAATTCAATGAAGAATTAAAACACAAAATGATTACCATTCATATGTAACTAAAAACTGAACAATTTCTAATAAGACTCTCCAGAACTTCAGTCCATTGCCATTTTAAGGTAAAATACATCAGATTATGTTACTACAGGCAACAAGGGATCTTATTGAATACTCAGTTAAATGCTCTCCTTTTATCAGCGGAAACTCAAAAGCTCTGGGGGAAATGGCGGTGTGTGTGTGTGTGTTTCTGAGCATTGACACACACTTCCCGCTGGTTCTGTTCAGGCCTGGGATTAGAACTCATCTATACTGCATGCTATTCTCTTTCTCTCGGGTCACATTCACTCTACAATATAGCCCCCTGGTGGGGAATGTCCTTCTGTATGCTGTGAATGTTTCTCTTATTGGTTGATGAATAAAGCTGTTTCAGCCAATGAACAGGCAGGATGTAGCCAGGCAGGAAGTATAGATGGAGCTACCAGACTAGGAGAAAGTGGGGAAGAGGAGTGCAGAGAGTGATTTAGAAGGGAGACACCATGTAGCTGCCGAGGAAGCCAGAGGTCTGGGCATCACTGGTAAGACAAGACCATATGGAGATATAAAGATAATATAAGTGGGTTAATAATTAAGAAAGAGCTAGCCAAATAAGAAACCTGAGCCATTGGCCAAACACTTTATAATTTATATGAGCCTCTGTGTGTTTATTTGGGACTGAAAGGTGGCAGGACTGGGCTGGACAGAAACTTCTGTCCACAAACCGTCCGCAGCCCCCAGTTCCCAAGTTGCTCCAGGTTCACATGCTTAACACGTCTATCACATCTGTAGCTATATGTACACAGCATTAAGTGTGTTACGTTTCGAGAACATAGATTTCCTCAGCATGTGTAAGGAAATGAAACCCATCCATATGAAATGAAAGAAGACTGTGGCTGAACTGTAACTAGGACCTGTCCTAAGTGTGACAGTCAACATGAATGAAATGATCAAAGGAATGTCCTTCCATGAATGCATATTCTTCAGTGTAGGCAGATTATCCTTAAATCTTTTTACTTTTAAATATTTATTCTTTTTATTTTTAATTAAATAGAATTTTTTTTTCTTTTTGGTGTTTTGAGACAGGGTTTCTCTGTAACTTTGGAGCCTGTCTTAGAACTTACTCTTAAACCAGGCTGGCCTCAAACTCATAGAAATTTGCCTATCTCTGCCTCCCAAGTGCTAAGATTAAAGGCATGAGACACAAATGCCTGGCGAATAGCAAATTTTAAATATTTGGTGGCTCCAATATATTTTCTGTCTGTCTGCTTGTCCACCTGTCTATCCATTCATCCATGTACCCAACCGCCCATCCATCCATCCATCCATCCATCCATCCATCCATCCATCCATTTATGAGCTGGGAGTTCTTAAAAATAAGCTGTGTTTAAGCTCACTCTCTCCCTTCCATTGTGACAGAAATAAGAGTCTCTTTATGTGAAGATGTGACATAAAATTTGAAGGTGGTCTTATATTCTCCCCAACTAGAATCACATTTTTTTTAAATCACAAAATGAGCTCATGTTTCCTTTGGAATTCCTCTTTGGGTTGTGTTTCAGTCAAGGAAGAAGTTGCTAACAAATGGTAACTCTGAGCATTACTCCCAGGATGCTCATGGCTCAGCTAAGCTTGCTGTTAGCATGGTGCAGAACCACTAAAACACCTCCCAATCTTGACTCTTCTCCCCACTTTTGAACTTACAATTACAGTTAACAAGCCTTTTTTTTTTTTTCACAAACTCACCTCATTTGCCTGTATCTACTATTACAATATTTTGCTATATTCAGTCTTTCCTGGGACATTGGTCAACTGTCAGCCTCAGTTTCATTAATCAGTTCTAAGGTCCTATGTATATACATACATACATACATACATACAAACTTATCCCTCTGACACCTTCCAGCCCTACTGCTCAGTTTCATGCTTTATTCTTTTTTTTTTTTTTTATAACTCATTGATACTAATTTGTGCTGTTCATATACTCCTAGGTATGTGGCCATCCAATGGAGAGTGGTCAACCAACCAGGAGCCACAATCTTAAAGAAAACTGTCTCTCCCCTAGAAACCATCAAGTGTCCATAGGTTCAGGTCCTCAGGGGTAGGTGCTCACAAACCCCTTTTCCCTTCATACTAGAATAGTAATTGTCTTGATCATTTTTAGGCAACCACAGCTGCTGTGAGTTCATGAGCTCAGTGGTCCTGTCATGATGGGAAGATGCTATCTCACTCCAGTCCTTCCCAACCTGTGGCTCTTAAAATCTTTTGGCCCCTTCTTCCATGATGTCCCTTGAGCCTTTTGAAGGAGGTGTCAAATAGATATCCCGTTTGTGGCTCAGCACTCCAACAACTTATTCTCTGTACATCCTCCCTCCTTCTTTCTACTCTGTCTTCACTTCTGAATCAATTCCTGTTCACAACCTCATGTCATTTATAGAAGCAGCTAGGAAACCAAGAAAAAAAAAGGCAGACAAAAAAATCTAAGAACATCAACTTTCAAATATAATTCAGATTTGTTGATATAGTCAAGACCTCACTATAACCTATAGAGCAGGAGATATCTAAATAGGATTTCCATGAATAGATTCTGCAGCTTTCTAGGCTGTACTCAGAAGAAGCTTAGGGGGTCATTCTTATCCTAAATGTATTCACAGGAGAAGTTAACACCGTCATACATCACTTATATAAAAAAAAAAACACTTCTCCCAAGATGCCATTGAATATAATAACATTTGGGTGGAAAATGCAAAACATTAGAGAGTCATGGTGGAAATGGTGCCTTGGAAAGTTGATGTGAGCAGAGTTTTGCCAAAACTATAAGCTTGCTCCCTTCCACCCATGTCCTGAATTTTATTAAAAATTTGGAGGTTTCAGATTTTTCTGAGATAAAAGCAGCCTTGTATTTGAAGGGTAAAACTAACTTAGTTCATGTTTACCTTCATGATTCTCGCCACACTCCAAGCATAGCCTTCCTTTGGTATCTAAACTATTTCACTTGAGCTACAGTTCAAAAGTAGCTTGCTTGGCTTCCACCGCAACCAAATATGTTTGACTGTTAGTTTTAACTTCTGCAAAGTATTTTCTTTTTTATCAAGAACTGCTATCAAATCATCCAGTTCCACAACTATTATAAATATTTCATTTCAAAGTCCAATAAGAAAGGCAGAAATAGCTGCAAAAATTTCCATGCTAGAGTGAAGGCTACAGATGACATTGTTTCAAAGAGTCTGGGGGTGGCTTGGTAACAAAATTAGGATAAAATGATCATGAAAAGGTTTTCACCTTGTTAAAGTGAAGAAACCCAACCCCTCAGAGGTGGCTCTGTACTTTATCTATGATCACACTGATTTCTTTTTCCCATCTTTGCAGTCAGATGACTTTGTCTTCAGTGCCAGAGGGAACAGCAGGGTTTGAGCAGCAGGGAGAAAGGCATCAATTTGCTACTTCCTTTCCATAGCACCCCTCTGGGAAGTCATTTTACAGCATCCTTGCTTACCCAAGACACAGGAAGGAGAGTTTGGGATGTTCCTCTCTCCATTAACTATTTTTCTGAGTAAAGTCATGAAGCCCTTAGGTAGCCATGATCACTGCTTTGCATGCTAGAAGTTCAGGACAGCCCTTGCATTCCAAGCTCCTCTATTTGTTGCCTTAGAAATGTGAGAGTTGGTGATTCTGGGCTAGGTGCCTTAAGGAAATTGCTCATAGGTTAGCCTGGATTTATATAAAAGACACTTTGCTGAGAAATTCTGAGCACACATATGGTTTCAATCCTTAACATTTTATTTTACATGTACCTAGGTAGTCTGTTTAAAGAATCCCATGATGGATCTTTTTGTAAAGTGGAAAAATCACCTTTCAACATATTCTTTGTGCAAATTTACATTTTCATGAATAGGTTTGCTTCAAACACCTGACCTTGTCCATTTCTATAGAGGTTGCATTGAACAGCTTTGTGGGAAACTTCTGTCCTTTCTTCTTTCCCCTCCCTCTTTCTCTTTTTCTTCCTTCTCCCTTTTCTACTTCCTTCATTTCATGTATCCCTTTAAGAAGTATGAATTAGGCACCTCCTGTGTGTCAGACATTATTATAAACATTTAATACAGGTTCAAAACAGGGTGAGATACAGAACTATCCACTAACCACATGGAGCTTACATTCTCAGAGAGAAGACTGTCGTCAGCAAGCAAACAACCCCAGAACTAAGTCTGAACAACTGTTTCATCTAAAGGTTTTACAGGGAAGGGAGGCAGAGGAAAGAATATGAAAAAACAAATAAAGGAAGAATATCAGAAAAGGGTGTTTGCCAAAGTATCTGAGATGAATGCCGTGGAGAGAGCATGGTCAACAGATGGGAATGCTATTTAGCCGTCCAATGAGGTGGAGACTGACAAGTGTTCCCAGCCTGGGCAATGTACAGTGGAAAGTAGCAAGCACAAGCCAGGTGGGCAAGATCACCAGAGTAAGGCAGCAGGTTATAGCCTTGAGAGCTTGTCTAGAGATGTTAAGAAGCTGAGATAGTAGGGTGGGAGCTTAGGGTGTTGAGGAAGGAGTTTTCAATTGGCTTTATACCAGGGAAACTTGGCTTGCCTATAAGGAAAATTGCAAAACAAAACAAAACATACAGAGAGAGAGAGAGAGAGGGGGGGGGAGGAAGAGCAAGTTGGAGATGGAGGAGGCAAGAGAGTAGATTTTTTTCTTTGCTTTTCCTTTCTTTTTTACTA